CATGATCGGACCATGGGAACGGGATTTTATGGGGTAAAAATGGGATTTTCCCATTTTTGACCCTACAAACATAAAATTTAGGAATTTCTTTTCCAGTCATTTTGAAGAGCTTAAAAAATAAATAATTAGTATATTGAGGCATTGTTGTATGCCTAGTGGTTTGGGAGAAAATTAAAAAACGTAAATTTAAAATACCCATGTTATTCTAATGGAGAAAATGAAAACTGTTGGTAGGAAATACTTGTTTATAGATATATGTTGATAAAATTTGGCAAATTTATTTATTTCATCCTATTCTATTGACGTTTAAAAAACACTATTTACCTTCCCCGTAGCAGCAAACCTAAGCACTTGTTAAATCTAATGTTATTTGAATTGGGAATAAATATGTCTTATTTATGGAAATATTTTAGTAAAAATGTAATCAGACAAGTTGAAATTCGCTTAGTCTGCAGGTTTGTTGCGGCGGGGGTATTTTGGTAATATTAAGGTATATTTTGATTAAACAGATATGTTCATGAATAATCACCTAGAAACATTTTGTCGCCAATACTAGAGTTAAAATATAAACAAACTAAACAAAACAAAGACCTAACTACTACAATTTAATATATTTTCACCGGAGTCGTAACGATATATTATTTACTAGTGTTATATATTTATCTATTAGATTGTATAGCATTAAAAAGGCCTACTTACGATGTTCGAAATGGACTTCTATCAAACTGTGTCCTCCCCCATTGCAAATGCAAAATTCGAGTATAACTGCAATAAAAGTTTTATACTTATATGCTCACCCCGTACAAAGGACGGGTTCTCTGCTAGTATTTTAATAAAAACCCACTTTATTAGTTTCCCTGTAGCAGCAAACCAATGTACCGTTAAACATAAATGTTAATTTAATAGATTAATTGAAAATCAATCCAGGCAAATGGAAATTCGCTTAGTCAGCATGTTTGCTGCAGCGGGGGTATCAATTTCTAAAATAATTATCCGGTTCACTGATCACTTACCCACATACATTAAATAGATTAGATTCCGTTAAAATCAAAGTTTTTTGGGTGGAATTGTGCCCCCCTAGGCGTGACGTCAAAATGACGTCAACGATCGCTGGGGTACAATTCCAGGGGGGTACAATTCCGCCGACCCCACAGGACAATGAAAGAAGTGTGGCCTTGAGCTATGTCGACCTTTTTGATGAGCTTCTTCAGTAATATAATAGATGAAGATACATCCTATGTTTACTTATTCTATGGCAATAGTATCGAAATTGTGAGTTGCCATGGGGCGATAGTAGTAGACGTAACTAACGTAAGGAACAAAAATTAACACGCTCAACATATTGTAAGTATTTGTTGTGAATATTTTATTGTCGTATCCATATATAAAGCCCAAAGTACCAATGAACTTTTGAGAAAACTACAAGTCACACCCCCTTAAGTCATGACCAGAAACCTTGCGCAAAACTATCCATTATTTCATAAATTGACCTATAAGGTCGTAATTGCTTTTCAAAGAGAACTTTCCATATACCTAATGTTAACAATATCTCAGCTGTACATATTTGTTTGTTATTATTTCAATTTATCACCTTATTGAAGTGTGATTATTTATTTGCTTGTATTACCAAAAATTACAGTGTAATCTTTGGTTTTATTAATACTTATGAAGTCAAACGGGGTGAAGCCCGTGGGTTGTTGCTAGTTCAGTTAATATACCTTATTTTACTCTGCCAATGAATTGATTTATATAGGTGCAAATCATACAGTGTACGTACTACGTATGTATAGCATACGCTACGTAACAAAAGGATGAAAAGCTAACGCTGCAAGGCACAGCCAGGCAAGGTGATGATGTTAAATGTAATCAATTAATACTAAAAATACTGGTTATGAGTGTGGCAAGGTGAAGTAAATTATCTTTCTTTACTTCCTACGACTCGACAACATGTATGCAGGCCATTCATTGTCTTCATTGGTTGCCTCTACTCTACCATTAATTTCCATTCACACACTCACATCCACATCCCAGCATCCATTCATACTGTCCCCTAATTGACACATTTTATGACTTTACTCTCGACCCAGAAACAGGCATCCTTGAAGTTGGAGACTAGTTGCTTTTATTCAATTAACCCTTGACCAAAGTTTATGCTCGAGCATAATTTTTATTGGCATCTTCACCTTGGAGGATCGGTTGGCTCTTGGGCAAATTGAAGGCCATCGCATGTAAAAACACAGTTCGTCTAGACAGGGACTGAGGCTTGGCCTTGGCTTGGATATGGGAGCAAAAACTGCGCGTAGTCACCTAGCCTACTTCTGGAATATTGTTATGAGTCAACCACACTGGCTGAAGAGGAAATAGTCCAAAACAGCCTCAGTGCAGTAGGTGATGTTACAGCTCCCTGGACTGGGACATCACGAAGAAGAAGAAGTCAACCACTATAGATCTAAGTTGAAGGTTTAGTCGAAATAGTGAACTTTAAGTACCTACATATATCTAAATGGAAAAAAAGGAACGACAAAACACTAAAACTACCGCGTATACTTTCTTGTGTACCATACAAACTCTATCGTTCATACCATGGCATGCTGCACTGTTGTACATACGATCAAAATCTATACTTACACATTTACCAATGCGTTTGTATGACTGGTTATCCTCCTAATAGTGTTTAAAAATGTGAATAGTTAGATCTGGTTTATAATACAAAGTGACATTGTACCCGTAAGAAGGTAGAATATGGTCTCTAGTATTGGAGGGAACATCAAATGGAGGTAACAGAACAATGATACGTGGTTAATAGCATGGTAATTTAATGGAAATTAGCTTATTTAGTAGCAACACATACGTATATACAATTAATACAATAAGAGTTTTATCAAAGATTACATGGTTTTATCTTTTATATCCTCTTTTCAGGTGTAAATCTTATGATATAGCGGAATTACGAATGATAACACCATTTCCTTTAAGGCTTGCGCCCCAAGTGTTTACCCAGTGTTTAGTTTTTTTTATTTAAACTAGAAAAGTAATTCATTCAATCATGCATTTCACAATACCCCCGCCCCAGCTTACCTGCAGATTAAGCAAATTTCCATTTACCTGGCTGGACTTCTACTAAAATTTATCCCTTAAAACGGTCAGATTAATTTCCTATTTGGTGTGTTTTTTTATTGAAATGTTGATAGGTAGCTTAGTATGAAATAAACAAATTTGTCAAATAGCGTTAAAATATCAGTGAACAAGCAAACTACAATAGCAAATTTCCTATTATGAAAAAAAGGATAATAGGGCTACTATACAGTATATAAGGGAAAATTCAATATTGATAAACTGAGTACCCAGTAAAAATTATTTATAATATATTAACTGACTTGTTTCAGGACTAAGGCCATTTTCAAAGTCATGTCATTTTGATATACAGTATATATCACAATATAGAATCACAAGGGATGTATATGAATTTGAACGAATGGTGTTTTTGGCCAAAAGGGAGATTCGCTAAAACGATCCTTAGCCCCCTCTGTTTCATCTCGTCCACGTCGACTCGCTCCTCATCCTCATCGGTTTGATATAGCCAAAGCCGAGTATGACGGCTCATTGATGTTATACAGGGTGATTGATACTCAGTGTGACAAAAATCTGTTGGTGTAAGTACAAAGTAAATGCACTGTGATGATGCATATAAAATGTTCCAAGTCTAAAAATTAGCTTTCCAAAAAAATATTTTATGTTTTTCAAAAATAACTATGTTTTAAACTTAATACAGCGGTTTTTTCAATTACCTGTAAATGGATTTCAGTAGATAATGTCATTTTCGTGTTCTACATTAAATTTTGAATAAGAATAATAGAAAATGACGGAGGATCAGTTGTAAAAACTCCATTGTACTGTAAATAGATACAAAGATGAAAATTAAGATGTTTAATAAAAATTTAAAAAACAATGAGCTATTGCATTTTTCACACCCTGTATACAAGAAAGTGTTGGAATACATGTATGTTAAAAACTGCGCCATTTTATAAGCTTTCCAACCATATGCTACACTTTTGGGTTTAGATATTTTTTTTGTTTGTTTTAGTGGTTTGAATGCCAGGAAACAGGGAACTTTTTACTGTTTTACTGTTCAAGCTGAAACAAAAATACAACTTTTGCTTAATACATGACGACTTTCTATGTTTTTAATGTTAAAGACACCATGCTTTGAAGTCTTCAAACCAAGCAGACATAAAGCTCAATGGTGTAGCATATGGCTGGAAAGCTTATAAAATGGCGCAGGTTTAACATATTCCGACACTTTCTTGTATACAGGGTGTGAACAAATTCAATTGACCAATGTTTTTTTTAAATTTTTATCAAACATCTTAATTTTTATCTTTGAATCTATTTACAATGGAGTTTTTACAACTGATCCCCGTCATTTTCCATTATTATTATAATTATTACTAGGGGAAACCCGTCGAAATCGACGGTTACTTTCAAGGCTTACGTTAATTCATCTAACTGCGATGAATTGGGTGAAATATACATATTTTGAGCATTTAACATTGTTCAAAGAGTAAGTGTAAAAACAATAACAATATTGCGTTAGTTGCCAAATTTGGTTGTTCATTCAATGATTAAAATATTTCCTATCCTGTACGTCATCGGAGTTATTATTAGTATGTTATATGGTATCTCTTCCTTTGGTAGAACCTTTAAATAGTATTTAAATCGTATTGGTGGATCTTTTGTAGCTAAACACTTCCGTGATTTCATCAGTGTTTGAGAAAAAATATATGTTTGTTGGGAAGACACGTTCTAACTTCAAAGGGAGGTATATCCGTTACAGTGTAAGTTTGATTTTCCTTCGTCACGTCGCGTCAGTTCATATCGTACTTCTGTGCCAATGAATGAACCCTCTAGCAAAGTTTTGAGAAATTGACTGTGGGGTTACTGATAAAGCTGGAATTCCTTGACATGGGGGATGTCAGTTAGTTGTCACGGCCAGGGCTGCGTTAAGGGTCAGTGGAGCCCTGGGCAAACCCAAGAGCAGCGCCCCCCTTTTTTCCTAGTGCTGGCAGGTGGTGGTTTGGGTCCAAGATGTATGGAGTAAAGGTAAAGGTAGGAGGTACCTCCTATAAAGGTAAAGGAGTAAAGGCTTTTACTCCATGCATCTTGGTTTGGGTCTCCCAGTGGGCGCCCCCAAACCACCAGCGCCCCTGGGCATATGCCCAGTCTGTCCGTTTATAAAAGTGGGCCTGGTCTCGGCCTTATCAATAACATAAAGTTGTCAATATAATCTCTCTACGGAATGTTAGGTGTAGTGGAATACATGAAGTAAAGTTGGCTTTTATTCTTGAACTGTTAGGGGCCTCCTAGTTCATATGATCTTGGCGGCTTCATTGGCAATAAATAATGCAAATGACATAGCAATTGAACATTTCCAAAAAGCAAAAATACTGTAAAATGGCTGTTACGTATATATTGACGTTTACATATTGTTAATCAACGTATATGATAAATACTTTAATCCTTTAATACGTTTTTTTTATGGCGACCATTCATAGTAGGTAAGCCAAGTATGAATGGAGATGAGTGTAGGAAGAGTGGCGCGATCTTGAAGTCTTGTTAGTTACTAAGGCCGACATTCCTTAGATACAGCTGTTAATTAATAGCCCATACAGCTAATGGCAACCAAGGGATCTACAGTTTATAGTTGAATTGGAACCAAATTTTTTTTTGCATTGGTATTTATGAATTGGTATAATAATCAGGATAGCACTGCGGGTAGTCGTAGTACTCACTCGTGCGGACGTTAATCCACACCAGGGAGTATCGCATCCACAGTGCATTCCTATAAATATCCACAATTCGTGACCTCCCAGTAGCTGGATTACAGGACGACGCCACCCGTCCCAGTCAAAGGATTATGTGATCTAGTTTAAAAGGAATATGACCTTTCTGTCATGACAGTAGCTGCTTAAATAGTATTTTCTCTTTGTACCATATTTAACAGCCAAAATTTCGTGTTATTTTCAATAATGTTACTAATTTAGTGCGCCAAAGTCCGTAATATAGGCAGGTGCAAATTATTTGTCAAGATAGGTACCATTTTAGGCAATGTTTCTAAGTTTGGATTTTATTAGACACAATAAGAGCAGATATTTCTACATAAATATTTGATACTAGCTGAGTACCCGTCCTTCGTCCGGGGTAGATGTATGTTTAAATGGTGCTTTTTGAAATCTGAAATTAAAAACATTGTAAAATAAGTAAACTCAAGGGAGGTGAAAAAGTTTTAATATGAACATGTTAAAATAAAATATATATTTACAATACAGACTTATAAACAATGTTTACAGCTTTCCTATCTTTTGTGAAAATATACAGGTTTTTTCCACTAGAAACACGTGAGCAAGCAACGTATAATTGCCCATGGGAGAAACATTGTGTTTCCAAATAGAGGCCTGCAACCTGTAGAGTCTGTCCTTGTGCTTTATTTATCGTCATTGAAAAAGCAACCTTTAAGGGGAACTGAAGGCGCTTAAAATTGAAGGGTAGGTTTGCTGTTGTAATGGGAATCCTGGGAATGAGTACTTCTTCCCCCTTTGCAGAACCAGTTAAAATCTTAGCTTCTATGACATTTTCTTTTAAAGATGTAATTAAAAGCCTAGTACCGTTACACAGCCTAGGTGGCTCTAAGTTCCTAAGTAGTATTACTGGGATTCCTAATTGCAATTCAAGCTTGTGCGGGGGAATACCAGGCAGTTCCAAGGTGTTAAGAAACTCAACAGGGTAGTGTAGTGCTTGCTCCTCTTCTGTAATTGAATCAATGGACAAATAAGATTTAACTTCACCATGAATAATGTTCATAATTTTGCTGTTTATTTTGTTCACATCGTCATTTTTGGGGGCTAAAATTGCTCTGCAGGATAACCATTCAGGATCATAGTGGTTGTTTTGTAAGTCAGGAAACACACTTGCTATAAGCTCTTCCGCAGAAGCAACCATGTGACCAAAGTTTTCTGGGAAGGAAATCATCTTATGTTGGTCAGTTTTCATTCTACCTTCACCAATCTTGAGCAAATCACCTAAAAATTGTCTGGCATCACAGTCGTTATGGAGACTTACCCTCATATTTTGAACCAAGTGATACTGCTCAATATGACTCCATAGGACAGACTTTTTCAAACAGGAATTGATTTCATCTGCTGGAGTTCCACGTTGGATAACTGGTAGGGTTTGTCTAAAGTCCCCTGACAACAAAACAACTAAGCCCCCCATTAAATCTTGACTATTTCTGATGTCTTGAAGTGTTGCATTCAATGCTTCAAATGCTCGTTTGTGAGACATTGTACATTCATCCCACACCAGTAATGTACAACGTCGGAGGACTTCAGCTCGATCAGAGGTTTTGCTGATATTGCATTGTGTGGTTTCAGCAGTTGCTAGGTTAAGTGGTAGTTTCAATGCAGAATGTGCAGTTCTTCCACCAGGTAGAAGTGTTGAAGCAATGCCAGAGGATGCAATCGCAAGAGCAATGTGATTTTCTTTTCTCAGCTTAGCCAATATGAGAGTTATAAGAAAAGTTTTACCTGTTCCACCTGGAGCGTCTAGGAAGATAATTCCTCCTTTTCTACTCTCAATCCTCTCTAAAATTGTATCATAAACCACTTGTTGCTCGGGTAGAAGTTTTGGTAACATCTCTTGTACTTGGAGCTGCATATCGTCGATGTTATATGCCATTTCTTTTAGAAGTTCAGGGTTTATTCCATTCAATAAGTTTGGAGCGGGTAAGCCAAACGAACTTAAATCTTTCCCACTCATAGACTTCACCAGTTCTTGGATATTCGTTAGGGCCTCATTGTAAACTATGTCATTGTACTGAAGGTCAGGGACGACTTCCCTGTGTCGATGTAAGATATCATCAGACAAATCATTTCTGAATGATTCCCACAAAGTTATAGGGCTTGACAACTCACACGTACTTATCAATATTGCAAATAGATGGCGTACACGAGAAGCTGAGCGAGTCAGAACAGCTTCTTCCATCGTTGACTCCCAATGGTTGTCATTCTCAAGCAGACCAAGGGCCTGACAGGCTTCTCTGTATGTGCCACAAATTTGGTTATTTACTGTCCTTAGTTGCTGAAAAGATGTAGGGCCTCTTAGTTTATGAAGAAGCAAACGAAGACAATAGCACTCAAAGTTTGCCGGATGAACAGTATATACACGACCTAATGCATCTGAGTATTTAACATCTGCATAACCATGGACAGGTGTTCCTTGAATTCGGCGCCTGAATACTTTCTCGGTTGCGTTGAAAGTGAAATAGTGTGGAACTTCATGATACAAAAGTGTTTTTGCAAAATCATCATTTTGGCATAGATCAAAGAATGCAGTCAACGTGGTTGGTGGTGGGTTTTGCAATCTTTCATTCATGTTTTCCTCATTAAAGTATACCCGCTGACCATTTTCTAGGTGTACTGATAGATGAGTCACAGTTGGTTTCCTCTCATGCACTGGGAATCCAAATATGCGCCAAGCAGCCTCATTACTACTTAAGTAACGTCCGGTTTGATAAATAGTCACTTCATCCTTTAGATTGTCTAATTGTGCGCCTTTCACCAAATTGAATGCAGCTTGGTCACTTCCCTTGTGTATGTATTTACAAACGTACTTTATGGCCTTAACTGAGCTGCAGTATTCTACATTGATGTGCGCATTGAAGATCTTAATCAAAGTTGGGCAATATGGGACAATCCAGCGGTTGTCTATCTCCACAGCAACATTTCCAGCAGCTTTCATATTAATATGACCCGTGAATCCACCATCATGTGGACTCCGTCTACGGTACATAGGATAACCATCATCATTTGTTTGGGTGTTTTCAATCAGGGGCCTTGGGTAGTGTTTCGTACATTTGCCGTCTTTCATGCATGGAGACCGTTGGTTGTAAGCACCACAAGGTCCGTGTACCATATGTTTCAGTACATACTCATGAAGAACCGGATCAGAGGTACGTTCTGGAATTTCAGAACTAATGACACTGTCAATCTGATTAGGACGGATTTTTTCACATAACCAAAGGAGGTAATGGATGTGAGGTAATCCACGTTTCTGCCACTCTACAGTGTAGATAAAGCATCTGACAGAGCCAAAAACTTCCCCTTTGTTGATCACTGCGACAAAAATCTTTATTTTTTGATGAAACACACGTGAAACAATGTCATGTCTGTCTGTTGCTTTCTGCCCTGGAAGCAAGGATTCCAATATTTCGGGCCATTTTGGATTGCATGTTAAAGTTATAAATAAGTCCGGGCGACCGTAGTTTTTAACATAGGTCAAAGCGTCTTGTGCCCTTTCACTTAAATACCTCGGAGATCCTACAAAACTTGAAGGAAGGATAACAGATTGGCCAATATCATTAGCACTCAGTGTCGCATCATTGTTCAAAGCATCTCTCAAATGCACGTAGCTCTCAGCCCTAAGTTTTTTTTGATTGAGCTTAATGTACAGTAGGCGTTCAGTTTCTATTTTGGCGTACATGTCAACTATGAACTGGTTTAGGAGCTGTCTATACCTCAAGATAGTATTAAAATCGTCTTCGCGTACCATTAACATGTACGCATAGAAATCCATTGACGAAACCTTCTTGTTTGTAGGGTGATTAGTATTTGGATCCATCATGGGGATACCAAAATGATACCCCTCTTGTCCTTTTGAGAAAATTAGTGGGTATTGTAGTGCATCGTAGAAGCGGTGAGTTTCAGACACTCGGAGAAGATTGCCATCACGTTTCCTTAATACAATGTCTCGGCTCTCAAACTCATTTCCAGCAATGACAATCGCCACTTCATCTGCAGTAGGAGCATTGTACCGGCGTTCATGTTCACCAGGTGGACGGCGGTCAGCACGAATTACAACTTTGTAGTTATCTGTTGGAAGAAGTTCCATAGCAGTTTTAAAAGAACGTACTAATTGATTTTCTTCATGAAACATTTGCTGTATATTTTCGACCGTTGTACGACAAACACCAGGTATGTTGTTGCAACGTGTGTCTGTTTCAATGTCCTGATCCCCAATAAAATATATTTGTAGAAAGCTATGGGGCTTTCCTGAAGGAGGAAGAAGGCTACCAATGCGGTGATAAACTTGTCCCTGAACAGTAAAAGTAGTATGAAAATGAGGAACAATAGTCTGAACAGATGCTCCAAAAGATGTCATTTGGAAACACATATTATATTTTCTAATATTTTGTAAGAAATCTTTTGATTCCCTTGTTTCTCCCTTGAGCAAAGTGAGAAGGGGTTCAGGTGGCTCTTCCAAATGAGTAACTTTGACTTTGCCACTTGAGCAACACATTCCAACAGATTCTCCTGGCCACTTGGCTGCTCTGCAATGCCTACATATACTATTAATATGTCCAATTGAAAGAAGATTGTGGTTTTTGTAATCAATTGTTGGGTCATAATTAAATGCTATGTGTTTAAATGAATCCCACTTTCTTGTCATAAATTGTTGCCTGTCATTTCTTCGAGCGAGTAGGTTGGCTTCATGCTGTTCATTAGTTTGAGTTAAACGCTGTGCAGCGTGTCTTACTGAATCCTCTTCTCTACGTAGCAGACGCTGTTGAGGAGTTTCTTGGGACCGTAGGTAAGCAATCCTGTTAGCATTGGTTTGTAATCGAGCCTGACGACGTTCTGAAGTTTCAGAAAATCGTTGTAGTGCTGTAGTTTCTGCGTTTTTTTTGCAGACGGACTTGTCTCTCTTGAAAGGACTCCCTTTCTCGCAAAGATGCCATTGCCCTTGCCTTAGCAGGACGACTGGAGAGGTTGCTCTTTTTTCTTTTAGGCATTTTAATATCCGAAAGTCCCACATGTATGTTAAAAAAGATTAAATTCCAATAAATCAAAAAAAACTTTATATAAAACTTAATATATCAAAAACTTTTAACTTTCTAATTACATTTAAAAAACATTTTCAAAAAATAAACAAATAAAAATCTCAAATCCTTTACTTACTTTTAAATTATAAAATAAAACATAGACAAACAATAATTTACAACATCTGGTTAATATTATGGTATAGCATTTAATTTGAATGAAATGAAACAGGTGATCTTGCTTCTAAAAAGCATTGCTCACTCAGCATTGAATATAAAAAAAAAACTTATTATATACTATGTGAACAAACAAAAACATTAATACTCTTACTACTAAAACAAAACAAACAGAAACATACTATTTAGCTATTAAATAAAAGGACTATTTAGTATTTAGTCCTACTATTTATAGCTCCTAATATTTATGCACCAAAGGCAAAGGCATATATACAACTTTTTTATTGTTGTTTTTAATTTGAAATATTTGTAAATATACAGCATCAGATATACAATCTCACTAATTTCATAAAATAAATAATCAATGAACCATCAAATATAAGAATAAATAAACATGATTGTAGAGAATATTATATGCCTCCTATTTATAAACCAGCTGTGGCATTGTGAATTAATGTGGTTTGACAGTTCAGCTTGTTTACATTTGGGTGGCATAGCAAATTGTAAACATTGTGTTTGTTCTCATGGCAGCCATGGAGACCAATCAATATTTACTTTTAAAATCCTCAACTCAGAACTTTTAAAGCCAAAGGGGCAAAGCCCACGGTCAGTATCGAAGTGTGAATAGTCCTATTATGGTCCTTGGTATGGTAGCTATATTTCTGTAAAATTTAAGCCCAGTCAGTTCAGTAGTTTATGCGAATATTAGTAATACACATACAGACACCACAAGATTTTTATATAATAGTATAGATTTTGTAGAATAATATGATAAAATGTAGGCAAAAGTGGCGAAAAAGGCACATACCAACCCGTACAATAGATATAAGATAGTTCAATAAGATATAATTTAAGAATTGCTGTGATAAAAGGATTTCCCACTGATTTCGTAATGGAACGTTATATTGCAAAACATGGCATGATAAAGAAGAAAATCAATAAATAACATTGCAAATACTTATTTGGTAGAATTCAACTCCCAATAAATATGTGTTGTTTGAAATACAATTTAAAAATGAACAGCTGTTTCATTAAAAAGTATTATTCTCATGGCCAAAATGTAAACAACTCTGTGGAGGGATCTTTAAAGGCTTCTGGGGCAGAGTCCTAAGGGATTTTGCTTAGTTTTTCTTTTCAAAACTCATCTACAGACCAAGACCTTTCTTTGGACACCTCTACCAAGTTTCTACGCCCAACCGTTCTCTCAAATTAGTGGGGACAAAGTTTCCAATCAAATATTTAGATTCCCCCATGTTAATCTTATGGGAGAAACTCCAACTTTGATGGCCTGTGGGGCAAAGCCCGAGGATTTTTACTACATGAATTGGTGAAAGGGGGTGTCTACACAAAAAATATTTTATTTTGACACGTCGTTTGTAAAAATCCGTCCATTATTAACGGAGGAGTAGTGTTTTCAAGAAATCGCCTTCACGTATTATATATAAGGATTCTTGTGTATTACTTTGTATAACTAGTATCAAATAATGTACCCAATGTACCCCATGTACTGTATCAAATAATTTGAAGGTTTCAAGTTCAAGTGCGCCGCAACGGATGGTTGAGTTCAATGAATGTAGGTTACCAGCACAATAATAGAGAAGTGGGGGTAGCGGGGGTTGGATAGGAGCTACCACGTGCAAGGGTTGGGGGGGTTGGGGGGGGGGTTTAATGGTGCTCTTGACATTGAGATTGAGGCCTCCACCACCCCACACACCCCCTTATATCTATCACTTTTGTTGCGTATATGAATCGATTATCATTATTTTACACGGGTAACTTTTATACAGTATTTGATTTGTTAGACACATTTCACATGAAGATGGGTTTTATTTTTTATTTTTCTAAAGCACTAGTTGGTTGGATCCCTGATTTATTTGGGGTTAATGATGATGGATGATATTAAAATTGTAGCTTTTTATCTTAAATAGTATATCTCTCTCAGAAGTAGTTTTCGTAGTGAATTTCATCATCTGCATATGGTTTTCAGCACTTTTTCAGTATTCTCACAATTAATTTACTGTTCTACAACTACGAATCAAAATGCAGGCAGTTATCCATAGGTTTGATGACGAAAAATAAATTCGTTAAATATACAGAACTTTAGCATCATATAACATTTATATGATATTCGCTATTAGTGAATTCCCCATGGGGCAAATAACTTGAGTAATTTTTGTCCGATTTTGATTAAATTCGGCTTGAAGGTGTAAGGCGGGATAAACTTGAATGAGTTCACGAACCAGCATGATCAGACCATGGGAGCAGGGTTTTACGGGGGGGTATTAGGCATATGGGGTAAAAATTTGTTTTTCTCATTTTTGACACTCAAAACTCAAAATTTCCAATTTTCTCTCAGGACGTTTTTAAAGAGCTTAAGAAAAAATAATTTAGTATATCAAAGTGTTTTTATACGGTTATTTGTAAGGGAGAAAATTCAAAAAATTTCAATTTAAATTCCCATGTTATTTTTATGGAGAATATTGTCAAATGTTGTAATTTGCTTGTTTATGGATAAATTTTGATCAAAACTTGGTAAATTTATTTATTTTATACTAAGCTATTAATGTTTTACTAAAACACACATTATTAGTTTTTCTGTAGCAGCAAACATTAATACTCATTAATATTAATGTCATTTAAATAGATTTAATTGAAAATCAATTCAGGCAGATGGAAATTCGCTTAGAAGGCAGGTTTGCTGCAGCGGGGTTGATTATACTCATCACTTATATTAGGTTGACTTTACCATACATGGATTAAGCTATTACCGTAGGTCTCATGGTAAGACACGGGACAGATTTAATTTTTCGTTTTGAGGTCCCCACAGGCCAAAAACACCATCCGTTCAAACATATATACAGTATATATATATATATATATTACATATATATGCATAGCCTATATAAATATATCCGTTAGCACGATTACTCGTCCAAAAATGATCTGATTTTGATTAAATTTGGTAAAAACGTGTAAACATACATTTATTCGAACGAGTTCGCGAACCAGCATGATCGGACCATGGGACCGGGGGTTTATGGGGGGTTTTATGTGATAATTATGTAGGTACCCATTTTTGACCATAAAAAGTAAAGTTTTGAAATTTCTTTCCAAACCTTTTTGTAGAACTTAAGAAAGTAAATTATTTAGTAGATTGAAGCGCTGGTGTATGCCTAACGGTAACATAGAAAAAAGTGTTATAAATTTAAAATTCCTATGTTATTCTAATGGAGAGAATGAAAACTGTTGTAGTTGACTTGTTTATGGATATATGTTGATCAAATTTGGCAAATTTATTTATTTCATCCTACGCTGATAACGTTTGGTCAAAATCACCTTTTACCTACCCTGTAGCAGCAAACCTAAGCACTCGTTAATTTAATATTATTTAAATAATTGGGATAAATATGTCTTATTTAAGGAAATATTTCAGTAAAAATGTAATCAGAGAAGTTGAAATTCGTTTAGTCTGCAGATTTGCTGCGGCAGGGGTATATTGTAGAACTTAAACAAACAAATACATTGGTACGTCGAAGCGTTGCTATACGCTTAGTGGATACGGAGAAAATGTCAAACAACTAACTGTAAATTTAAAATTCCTACGATATTTTGATGGATAATAAATACAATAACGTAGTTTGCTTGCTAAGGGTTATAATTTTCATGGCATTTTTCAAACGTGTTTATTTCATTTTAAGCTTTTGATATAATTTTAATAAAAACACACTTATTACCTTGCGTGCAGCAGCAAACTGAAGAACTCCTAAAAAGTAATGCCATTAATTTATAAAATAAAAACGTCAATTTTAAGGTATCTTTTTAGTGAAAATCCAACCAGGCAGGAAATTTGCTTAGTCTGCAGTTTTGCTGCGGCAGGGGTATTGCACAGGTACAT